GAAGTATAACTTCTTACGTGCGTACATAAGTATACCCACAATTTTTTTTTTATTTAGTAGATATCGACGACCTTAAGTGGCATTATGAACAAAAAAATTGGTAATTTTTTTTGTATGTATACATATATAGGGAAATTAAATTTATAAATGTTTACCACAAATTTTCAATAATGATTATGCTCGAACATAGTATTTATTAATTAGTATAAAAGAAAAGTCTGTGTGTATATTAGTGTTATCTATATGGATATATACAACTTTAACAAACATTCATGGTCGTCTGTGCGTCGATTACTTGCAATTCATTACATGTATTACCTTAAGGGAAAATATCTAGAGGAAAATACACACCGGAAGACAATAAAGCACGTATCCGTCAATTCGCAATGAAACAGAGCGGTGAGGGACCTTTGAATTTAGAATAGCTAATGTTTTTGTTTATTTTTCGGTCTTCAGTACTAAGTTTTATATAACTCTGTAGGTTACAGGTTCAATTCTCGTAGAGGAAGACTGTTTTTATTCGTATAGTATATAGTGTTTTATCTAAGTTATTGAAGGTAATCGTTTTACAAACTGCCTTAATTTCATTATATACAGCCTAGAATAGTCAAAAAATCACTACGTTGTGCCTATAATTGCTTCAAAATATTTTTTTATTTTTAATTTATAAAAAAATACAACTTCTAATACTCAACTATTAATATCTTAGTATACCTAAACGTAATAAAAATAACTAACCAAGGAGTTTTCAATCTAAACTTGACCTAAATATCTTAAAATATTGTTGCATTATCACTATGTTTTTAACCTTCACAAGAAATTTTTAAAAAAGTACTATCTATTTGTCAGCCAAATTTGTTTCTACGGATGGTTCGTGGTTTTAATTAATGATAAAAATTATAACAAAATGTCGCACGTGTGTTGATTTTAAATAAATATAGCCAGAGAAATATTGTATGCAAAAAATATAATTAATTAGTTAATATTATAAGAGTTTAGACGATGGTTACAAGTTCGAATCTAGTTCAAAACAAAATCTATACTATCACTTATTGCAGTCAGTAAGAGTTGCTCAGTCAAAATATTTTCATATTTAGTATAAAAAATACATTTTTCATTACGTTGAAGTGTCTAAGACTTCGAAACAAAATGTCTAAGTTCTCAAATAACTATCGGCAGTATAATTATGACTGTTATTTACGATGTAGGGATATAAAATTTTAGTGTATTATCATCAAAAGGCTGTTTGATAAGCAGTTACAATAATGTCAGAAATCAAAAGTAATTCATTCTTTGAACTAACGTAATTATTATTTATGTACTAGCAATTCAAGTTCGGGTTTGTCCCTCGGTTGATACCCCTTACAAACTTTCATCCCCAATTTCATCCCCTTAAGGCATGCACTTCCGGAATAAAACCTATCCTATGTCCTTCCCAGAGTTTCAAACTATCTTCTTACAAAATTTCATCTAAATCTGTTCAGTAGTTCCAGAGATTACTTCCCACAAACAAACTCACAAACTTACACACTTTACCTCTTTATATCTATAATATTAGTAGTTATAATGATAATTTACGACATCAAGGCTAAGAATTTCACGTGTATTTTTGATGACAAAAAAAACCGCAAAATCATAACACGTTTTTGTATACTTAAAAAAAAATAATAATAAATTGTCAAAAAACAAGATAAATCTGTAGATCCTTCCGTAAACAAGGTATTTTATAATTGCTTAATTCCTTATTAGAGACGGAGCCTACTGTGATTTTTTTCTTACCTCGCTGCTAAAGTCCCTTTGCATAATTTTCAAAATCTTGTTTGTATATTATAATACTTAGTTTTTGCAAAACTATTCAAGGTTAGACTCAACTACGCATTTAGTGCGGCTTTATCTACTTTTCTTATAATACTATTATATATATATATATATATATATATATATATACATATTTTGACACACATTAAATGCAAATATTATAATCAGTAGCCTACGTGTTACTTCAGGTCACGTTTTAATTTCATCTAAATCTGTCCAGCCATTTCAGAATATAGGAGTAACAAACATACATACAAACTTTTGCATTTATAATAGTTTTAATTCGCAAAAAAAAATAGGCAACCAACTATAGGTATCATTATTTCATGTTTTTTATATTCATCGGTATCCGGAAACACATCAGGTTGAATCTCTTTCAAATGGACTCATTATTAAAGCGCCAAAAATTCCTTGGATTAACATAATTTTATAAGATATGGGATAATTGTTTTGACTCACCTAACATAATAACAAAAATGGGGCTATGTATGTTATTCTGCACGATTAAATAATTATCAACCATTTTGCAATAAATTCGGACAAAACTAGCCTTTAAATAATTTTAAGAGATTATAATGATATCTCTCGCAGGTATCCTGATAAAAATATGTTTTCCAATTCAATGTACTATTTAAAAAAAAAAAACAATTTTTTTTGTAGTGTTTGTTTCTTTTTGCCCACGGCGGAACGGAGACGGTATATGCCTTTGGGGTGAGAAGATGTTTGTGCAAATTCATGTTGCCATTTTTCTCCAAAACTGCTAGTCCGATTTTGATGCAGTTTTCAGTTATGGATTTGAGTTTGATTGGTGCATGTTCTTAGATAGTTGTTACAGTGACAACTCACCAGGGGGCGCTGCAGCAAACATTGTTTGTGCAAATCCATGTGGCCATTATTCTCCAAAACTGCTAGCCCGATTTTGATGCAGTTTTCAGTTATAGGTTTGGGTTTGATTGGTGCATGTTCTTAGATAGGTGTTACTGTGATAACTCACCAGGGGGCGCTGCAGTAAACATTTGTTTGTGTAAAACCAAAACTACTAGTCCGATTTTGATGCAGTTTTCAGTAATTGACTTGTAGTTGGTTAGTGAGGGTTCTTAAATAGGTGTTACGATCGTAGCTCACTAGGTAGCGCTCCATTAATATATTTTATTTTATAGTAACTACTACATAATAAGGAAACTCGATAGAACTCGATAGGTAAGTACTTCTGTAGTTAAGTAGTGCCATCACTATTTTAAATTTCATCGTACCTAAATAAAAATAAGTATCATCATCAAATTTTAAAGGTCCCTACTATAGGCGCACGGCCTACCCATTAAGGGTGTAAGTATAGCGCTAAAAAATCCCAAATTAATCACGTTACTATAAAACTGCAAAACTAGTTCATAATGGCAGCCCCCGACGGAGATGCATGAGTTTATCTCGCGTTACATTTATTTTTTAAGTCGAGGGTTTTTAAATTATTTTATTAAATTATTTTATCCTTTTTCAATTACTTTTTAACCGACGCGCCGTGGGTTTTTTCAAAATTTTTAATTTTGCTTTTTTTATTTTTTATTGAAAAACAAATACACATTTATCTCACATTTTTCCGGGATAAAAAGTAACTTTTGTGCTATTAAAGACTAAAGCTAAAGCTAAAGAAAATCTGTGCCAAATTTCATCCAACAACAAAACAGACAAACAGACAGAGAAACAAAAAATTTGATTTCTCTTCTTACATCCCCTTGACTCGGTTTTTAGCCTTTTTTTTCTAAAAAGGCTAAAAATACAGACACTTCTACAGTTTTATTATATGCATAGATAAAAAAATATTGTTTAATGTTATTTTAGTAATTAACTTTGTGTATATACTCTACTTGATAAGCCGCATTCATGAAATAAATGTAGCATTTTAAACAAACTTTTATAATTCACATATGATTAATAGCTTTAAAAGCGAGTGTTTAAAGTGTTTGACCTGTGAAGCAACAGTTATCTGTCACCGCGTGAGAATCGATCCGTCAAGGTGAACTGGGGTCGAAAAAGAACCTACTTTCCACCACCAAGGTCGTACTTAATTAAAAAAAACGTTCTCTCAAAAACTTATATTTAAAAATCATTATTACAACGAGGAGCGCAACAAATTAAGCACCTGGACAATTATTGTGCTATTAAACTCCTCTAAAAGAAATAAATATAAAAAACTAACTAACATACACTGACACATTCAACAATTTAATGACTAAAAACAAGTCACATTCGAGTTTTCACCTCATTATACAGATTCATAGATACAAGCTTTTAGATATCTCTTACTTTAGCAAGTAAGAACCAAGCATGGACAATTTTACTAAAGGCATACTCAGTACAATATTTGTATCATATCATCGGCGTCAAACGTAACTCCGAATGTTAGCCATTAAAGAAATGATCGCTCCAAATGGACAGCACGCCTCTCACCGTTACGCAATACAATTAAAATCACAACAAACTTAAAAATATTACAAAAAATCTTAAACAAAATACATGACATGGCGCGACTGACTTAATAGTATCTTACGTGCTATACTTATTACATATATAAAACTTAAGGACGGTTGGTTCCGTCGCGCTTTGTGGCATCCCATTTACCGAAACCGACGCGAGTGGACTGCATAGGACACGAGATATTCGTATTATGTAAATGCGCATAAAATGTATAATACGCATCTATATAATCGCAATTCTATTTACGCAACGCCCGCTCTGCCGTCCAATCACCTACTTCTTCACATAACCAGATGTCGAGTCTACAATCTTTCCGATGTCGATTTTGCTTTGTTTTTGAGTTTTGTGCTTACAACTCAGACATACTCTGATGAAAACTCCCCACGTCGCGCGCCCTACCCGCAATAAATACGCGGACAATAAATACTATACTAATAAATTACAAATAGCTAGCTAGTAAAAATAACAACTAGACTAAAATGAGCTTCAATCACATATATCGACTAATCCGTTGTCGACTTAAAAACTAGGTAACTTATTACCAATATCCGTTCAGTCATATCGACTATAAATTTTGTATAATAAAATTTAAAACTAAGCACGCGAATACGAAATGCTTCCTCGTAGATTAAAAACCAAGTGGCCAGAACGTGAAAGGTGGTGTTATCCAACGTGATTAGAAAGGTGTCACGGTTGGCGAGCGCTTTCTAGCGCGAATACAACGCGAGGTCCGAGATTCTGCGTTGGCGTGCGGCGGCGTGGAAGCCTCGCGTGCCGTCCGGAACTACAGGGGTGCGGGGTTCAAATCTAGGGGTACATGACAACCTTCTTCCACCACATTCAGTACCGCCAGTTATTGAGCAACCAGACAACCTCCTTGCCAACCACCCATCAGCACTGCTAGTACTACCGGTACTCGCTTGTGACGCTCTCCTTGACCCACAAAAGAAAGAAACACCAGAATCAGAACTATGACTACAAGTTGAGGGTCTACGAGGAATCCACGTTTGTATTTCAGGTGATCGAGGTGTGAAGAACCCACTAGAATTTCTTCTATAAAATGGCGTTCCATATCTATAATCGTATTCAGCCTCCGAACCACTACAGCATGAAGAGTATTCGCATTCGTGACGCCTATTTGCAGGGCGACGCACTGGCGCTTTCCTCTTAGGCTCCCGGGGGACACCGTTCAGTTCATACACACGCATACCTTCTTCATCAGAACTTTGAAGACGAAGGGCACCTCTAGCAGCTTCCGACTCCGTAAACTCCACCAACGCGCACACACAATTCACCAAACTAGGATTCTTGTTAAGGAATTGACGGACATCCGCTGGCACCGGGTTCCCGGGTCGGAGGACGCGGACTAGAGCTATCTCACCACAGCTCGCAAACAATCTCGAAACATTCTCGACTGTAGGGCGATCTATAGGCATTCTGACAGCCACGACGGTCCTGGACGGGGTAGTTTCGTCGTACGCCGGGAGAGGGTCGATCCGACGAAGCTTGGTTCCCGGCTCATTGATTTCTAATTTTGTCGACCGTTTCAAAGCTTCAGCGACCACTCGCCAGTCCTTGGTTAAGTGCTTGACGCGTTTGAAACTGGATATCAGCTTGAGTGACACATACCCTTCCTTGTTGCGACGAACGTGCTTGAGCAGGAATGCGTCTTTAGTTATATTAGCGTCCGAAAAGTAGAATTCCACTTGTGACACAATGCGGTTGGCTAGTTCCTCGTCCGGCGGTGTGTACGGCGGTTCCTGGGGGTCCGGAGCGACTTCGCAGCCGGAGTCCTTGCCGCCACCGGAGCCTGTCTCGGAGGCCGTATCTGAGAGATCGGCATGATCGTCGGTGGACGGACGCCTATCGGTGGAGATACCCTCATCGGGCTCTGGCATGACTTGGCTGGGGATGTTCCCCTCCATGTTCGTAGCGTGGGTTTACCACTTTAGCATAACAGGACGTGCGACTCGCTCGGTAGCGCTGATCAACTGCGAGCGCGCGGCGCGACGCCGACACTTTTATAATATCGGGGGGATGTGCGGTAAAAGGCAATCGGAAACGAGACGTGACATTGCAGACTACGAGACGCTAAACGTTAGTTACTTAACATATGTAAAGACCACAAAAGCCGCGCTCGACTCCAAATTGGCGGTCGCACGCACTATTTTCATATTAATATATAATTAAACACGCAATTGTTACGCGAATCTGTGTTAGCATGATAATAAAACAGCACGCGCTTCTAATTATGTAGCAAAACGGAGCATGTTAGTTCTAATAAATGTAATAATTTTGTTAAGTTATTACTTTGTGTTGGTATACAGTGTAAATATAAAAACTTAATTGTCTAAAGGATTTCATAAAATATTTCTTCCTCAAGGTTGCGTCTTTTCTAATATCTTTTGTCACATTTCTTTTTTTTTTTATTCTTAACAATATGATACAAAGATGTGAAATTTAAAGTAAGTTATATATCGATATGAAAAAAGTTTTTAATCATATATAAATAGACCATTCGAGGCGAAGAAATTATAACGAATTTCGAATTTACTCAGTACCAGCTATAAAGTCTTGTACATATTCAATTTCGCGGTTTAACTTAACTTTAGCAAGTTATCTTAAATGTAATTATTTTTATTGACAAACTCTGGATTGCAGCTTTGCCATATTTGTAGATAAATAAATAAGTATGACTTCAGCTTTATAAGGGAGCGTGGGTGATTTAAATGGTTAATTAAATTTTACTACGTCTAAAAATAATATTTAATTAAATAAAAATCTGTTTAGTATTATGAAAATAAAACTAATGATTTTCGATACTAATCACGATATAATTGATATAGATCTATGTCTATTTGATTTGACTAATTTAAAAAAGAAGGAGGTATTTTAAATAAAATTATCTTTTCGGATTTTTTCGCGGATTTATTTTAATCATGGTCATAGAATTGACTCTTCTAATGAACATCAGGTTAACTGTAAAACATTCGAAACATCGAAAACCAAAAAATCATAATAAATATGCGATAAAACCCGAAAAGAAAATTGTATTTAAAACTAGCGTTAGTACTACTACCCTACCCTACTTACGTTTTAACGTTTAGTACAGATTTCTCAGAGATGAGATATTTTCCCGCAGTAAAAAGTATCCTATATATTGATCAGAGTTATCATCATACCAAATTTCATCAAAATCCTTCTAGTGGTTTTCCGTGATGCGGTCACAGACACACAGACAAAGAGACAGACAAAAATTCTAAAAACTATAGGTTCGGCCTCTGTATCGATAATGTTTATTCCAATAAGATCTTCCAAAAAATATTTAATGTACAGATTCGATACAGTAAGAATTTTATTATATGTATATATGTCAAATATTTACGAATATGAGCAAGTATAATATTAAGAAGGAATTACTCACTCCATTTACCTATATGTACCTATATTTGTGTATGTGACACGATACTTAACCTCATGAGAAGATTGATAACATAGATTCATTAAAAACCAAATAAAAACTTTATTACACTGTCGTAACAATAAATAGATATCTGAAGAAAATAATCGTTTAAATTTCAACTAGTTCTAGAATTCGTGATAGAAACGTTCTCGATAAGGCCATCTGAATTACTAAAACAAATTAAAATTGCAATTTTAATATTTGCATAAAACAATATGTAGGTCGAGTTTTTAATGTTACGAATATTTAAACAATAGCCGTTTAACCGGTTGCAGGCTCTCAAGCCCCGCCCTAACAAATACACATGTTATCTAAGTACTACTCATATGTATTGGTAACTATATACTACAGAAATAATGTAATTTTGCTTAAAATTCCAATTTTTTATATATATGTTATTATTTAAAAAAAACTGAATAAAAATTGTTTTTCTTAAATGTCCCTCATATGTTATCTTATATCTGGAACAATTGGTTCGATATGATTTCTTCCATTTTTTTGCCTATTTTAGGATCTATATATGTATATAATAAAATTGCAACTAAGACGAATCTGTATATAAAACTTTTTTTTTTTTTTGGAAAATCTTATTGAAATAGACATTATTATCGATACAGAGACCGAATCTATAGTTTTTAGAATTTTTGTCTGTCTGTCTGTCTGTCTCTCTGTTACCGCTTCACGGAAAATCCACTGGAGGGATTTTAATGAAATTTGGTATGATGATAGCTGGTTATCCGGGTCAACACATATCCTACTTTTTACTACGGGAAAATATTTCATCTCTAAGAAATCTATACTAAACGTTAAAACGTAAGTAGGGACGAACCCGAGCGGAGCGATGGGGAGTCGCTAGTACTTAATAAATAGGGCTTATTTATTGATAGGCTATCTATTACTTCATCCTAGCCATTAGGAGTAGACTAACATATATGATACGAGTGGAATCAACAGCTTAAAGCTAATAAAAAAGAAAGTACCTTTTATATATAAACATTATTCTTTGTTTACTTTTTCAATTATCATTTTTTTCAACAGAAAACCTATACTAATATTATAAATGTGAAAGTTTGTGAGGATGAATGGTTTTTTGTTACTCTTTCAAGCAAAAACGGCTGAACAGATCTGGATGAAATTTGACACATAGATAGATTATAGTCTGAAATAGCACACAGGTTACTTTTTGTCCCGGAAAAATGTACGGTTTCCGTGGGATAGATTTGTTTTTGTCTAGGGACAACCCGAAGCACAGCGAGGGTGAGTCGCTAGTTTTTGATATTTATATGTCCAATAATATAATTTATGCAAATAATAAAAGTAGTATATAAGAAAAATGAGTGAACGTAATAATGAAAAATTGCATTCACGTGCAAAGTACTTACCTATTAAAATACATAAAGATACTATATTATATATATATATATATATATATATATATATATATATATATATATATATATATATATATATATATATACTTATATATATACTTATATATATATAAAAAAGACAATATAGAAATCGAGAACCTCCTCCTTTTTTGGAATTGGAAGTCGGTTAAAATAATATAATATTTATATAGAAAGTTAAAAAATAGTACCGTAAATACGTCACCTTTACATACAAATTCAAATATTCTTATTTAAATAAGAGATTATGATCGACAGCTCAATACCGTATTGTAAAAATGAATAAATACTTAATAAATACAAAGACGTAAGTACATAACGTTTGTAATGAGTCTGTTTGTAACTTCTACATAAATCGTCCGATAATGATGAAACTTCATTTTTAGTACACTAAATACACACACACACACACACACATATATATATATATATATATATATATATATATATATATATATAATACCTACTTCTATAACAATTGTGACGTCCAACACCTAACAGCTTAGTCCCTCCCATATTTGCTGTGAAACATACGAAACGCATTCAAAAAATCAGAAAGGCTAAAAAATTCGTAAAAATAGTTTTGATTCAATGCCTAATAAGGTATTATGTAATTGATAACTCATTTAGATGTATCTGTATTATACATATATTTAAAAATGTCATATAAGTATTATATATGAAAAAAAAATTGTATGTTTGTCGCTCATTCCCGCTGAAACGGCTAAATCTAGACTTCGATTAACACATAGGCTAATGATAGTAATAAAATTTATATCTATAATATTATAAATATATAATAAACTCAGCAATGCACTCGAGCAAAGCAAAGCTAAGTCGCTAGTATATTATAAACAGACATACAACAATACTTCTTGTGATAACACTTTTTTATGTTTAGAGTATATTTACTTCGCGTGTTAAGATAGCAATATTTATCTTTTCTACTGCTTTATTGTGCCAGAAGTTTCGTAATCAAAGATAATAATAGATTTAGAGGTTTTATTATAAGTTGTTATTAATACAGATCAGCCTTTGACGCAATAGATGTACTAAATAGGCAATATTAGAGTTTTGTATGATAGGAGATAGGAGAAATAGGGTTTTTAAATATGATAAATAAATATGTTGGGACATTAGCACACAGCACCTTGTAGTTCCATGGTAGGCTACGAGGCTTGTGTTATGGATACCAGATAGTTGATACTACACATATATAACTTTAAATAAGTACATACATATTATAAATATAAACACCAATGACTGGAGTACAAACATTCGTGCTCATCACAAATGAATGCCCCAGCGGGACTCGAACCCGCGACCGCCGTGGATACCAGATAGTTGATACACTACATAATACATAGTTATAATTTTAAATATACACAATAAACATATTAAAAATATAAAGACCCATGACTGGAGTACAAATATTCGTGCTCGTCACACAAATGAATGTACCCAGCGGGACTCGAATCCGCTACTGCTGACAAGTAGGGTATTACACTACAAACTGAGCCAAACGTGTTGTCAAAAAGTGTAAGTTGTTGTTTTATATATATATATATATATATATATATATATATATATATATATATATATATATAAAATAATAAAATTATTAAGTAACTATTGATTGCAGTTTTGCCCATATTTGTAATTGTAATTTTAATATAGTCTACCAGTAAGTGTAACTTCCGCTTTATAAAGCAACAAAGCCGTCGTGAGTTGTAACTCTTTTCAAATAAAACTGTCTATACGGATTTTTTCGCGGAATTATTAAGATTTTAGATTCCTGGTCAAAACTGCGAAAAATAAAAAGAAGTCTATACATATAATAAAATTGTAACTAAGCCGAATCTGTACATTAAATATTTTTTGGAAAATCTTATTGATGTGACATTATTATTATCGATACAGAGGCGGAATCTATAGTTTTTAGAATTTTTGTCTGTCTGTCTGTCTGTCCGTCCGTCCGTCCGTCCGTCCGTCCGTCCGTCCGTATGTAAAGCCTAGTTCGCATTAAGCTAGTATTTTAGTCTAGTAGCGAGTA